TCTATCCGCTCTCCCTCCCTCGTACCAATGTCCTCTTCCTGTCTGCTTAAACCTCTCTTGTCCCACTTACTATACCAAACCCCTGATTACCGCTTTGCCTTAGTCTGCAGCTAAGGTCAATCCACGTGTTCCCGGCTGGTCTGGCCTCACGTGTTTCCTACCCCATATTCTACCCCATCCGCCTCCCATCCCGCTGGAAGATTAGGAGCTACGTACACGACATAGGTAAATATATCATCAAGAAACCAACGATATTCCTGCTAATGCGATTGTGCTGAGATCTACCTTATTTTCTTAGTCCTTGTATGTTTGAGTGGTTTTATTATTATTCCTGTGTGCTTGAACAACATATTTAGTAAAGAAAGATTTGTTTAAGCTTCTGTTTCATCTCCTCATTGAAACATAACGGCTTAGCCCATCCTGCGTATACACTTGATCTGAATCCCGATTATTAAGCTGTTCCAGTTGTCTCTCCTAAAGAGCAATTCGGCTAACAGATCAGGGGCAGACACACAATCTGAGGCCATGTGCCTTGACAGAAATAGACATTGGAAAACAATGCGGACCAACAGGAGGTTTTGAGGGGCTTGTCTCAGGTAAAGACATAAGTTTACCTGGACCTATCAGAGGTCCCAGGGGGTGTGGCATCAGGAGGGGCAAAACCTAGGTGTGACCAATGAAGTTCCAGATGGGCAGAGTCTGGATTCACAATAGCGCTGATGGGATTAGCCAGGTGTTGGATGACCGTACTGGGGCTAGCTGAATGGGTTTGGTGGCCACTAATGGTCCTGCCAGGGCAGTTTGTATAGGCTCCCAACTTTATGAAAAAGGTGGGGGATGGGTTCCTGATTAGCATCAGGAAGGATCACTAAATATTTTGACGTGTGATTGGTTTATCTTGTTATCCTGAGCGACAGTTGTGGAGACAAAGGGTTCTCACATAGACATAGGTGGACAAAAAAGGGCTAGGTAAAATTCTGGAGACAGAAGGGCTATTCACTTTACCTGCTGGAACCCATTGTTTCATATGCATACCTTCCTGGGTGGGGGGGAAGACTAGAGGTTGGCTCTGAAGGCTGCCTTTTCACTACCTGCTCTGTGTTTCAGGCCAGGAGTGTCTTCCTTGACCTCAGTTTGTGGGTCTTTGTTTCAGATTAGAAGTGGGATGTCCTACTATTTAGGGCTACCCAAAAGTAAGGCAGCACCTCTGGACTACATGCCATGTAGAACTTTCCCAAGAGAAAAGAGTAGGTATTATTCCTAATGATAAGAACGACTATTGGCTGATCAATATGTTAGGGTATGGTGCATGCTGAGGTGGGCCTTGGGCAGAAACCTCTCTCTCCTTTGTTCTCTCTCTCACACACACAAGTTTGAGAAAACAAACAAGCAAGATGGAGTTAGACTTAGAAGGTTAGTTAGAAGACGAAAAAGTAGAAGATATTGGATTCATACCCCGCCTTTCACTCGGAGTCTCAGAGCAGCTTACAAACTCCTTTCCCTTTCCCTCCCCACAACAGACACCCTGTGAGGTAGGGAGGTTGAGAGGGCACTTTCAAGATCTGCCCTTTCAAGGACAGCTCTGACAGAACTATGGCTTGCCCAAGGTCACCCAGCAGCTGCAAGTGGAGGAGTGGGGAATCAAACCTGGTTCTCCCAGATTAGAGTCCGTGCACTTGACCACTACACCAAACTGGCTCTCTCTAGTTAGGATGTTGATATTTCCTTCCATGCAACCCTTCCCTTATTTTCTAGCAACATTTTCTTAGAAGCTAAACACAAATGTGTCTGCTCTGCTTTCATTGTGCTGCGCACATTAGCTCTGCTAATAGTCCAACAAGATTGCAATGCATTTCTCTGATCTGAGGGCAGAAGTGAAACTCCGCACATCACATCAAACCACTTCAAAGAGAGGATAAAGGTAAAGGTAAAGGCTTCCCTTGCTCGAAAGCTAGTCGAATCTGACTCTAGGGGGCAGTGCTCATCGCCGTTTCCAAGCTGAAGAACCAGCGCTGTCTGAAGACACTTCTGTGGTCATGTGGCTGGGATGACTAAATGCCAAGGTGCACAGAATACTGTTACCTTCCCACCAAAGCGGTACCTATTTATCTACTTGCAGTGTCTTGCTTTCGAACTGCTAGGTTGGCAGGAGCTGGGGCCAAAGACAGGAGCAAACTCCGTCATGCGGCACTCGGGTCTCGGACTGCTGAACTACAGACCTTCCAGTCTGCAGCTCAGTGTCTTGATATGATCCTATTAGCTCCATGCTTTGGAAAAGACAAACGTGAATGAGCTCACCCCACCCCATTCGAAGGTAATAACAGGGCCAAATTTAATTACAGTCAGCATTCCAGAAAAATGAAGAGGATCTGTCCATCAGATAGAAAAGACACATCAATTCACGAGTCTCCAGTTTTGATATCTGTACCTCCTTCACTATATTTCCCCCCAGAATTCAACTGAAACGAATGTTATTCCATGTGGATCATAAACTTCATTAAAAAAATGATATCCCCAATCTCGTGTGTCTTTGTTGTCTTACTGTTCTGGCAATGAGGTTTGAAACTACTGACTCCAACCCAATCTGCTTTGACAAGTATCTTATTCCTCCTTCCATCTTCACACTTTGGGGGTATAAAATTACCCCCAGATCCTCTGCTTTCATGTTTCAGCTGTTGGGTCCCATCTCAAGAACAGACTTCCGTTAATGGATCCAAACTGCTGGGTGAAGACATGACTTGGGGGAGGGTGTATGTGACCTTGCGTCATCTCTGCCATCCCGACACTGGCATTTGTAAAGATCCCACTAACATTACATTACATTACATATTTGATTTATTTACCGCTCCTTCCCGAGGGCTTGGAGCAGTTTACAGAGACCTTTTATAACCTAGCTAGGGCCACAATTCAAAGGGGGGAGGTGAATACCTACCAGGCACCCAAGCAATGAGGTTCTTCTCTTTTATGTAGTTCTTTTTATGGCTCTCTAATCCACGGCGGGCTCTTTCTACCTCAGCGACGGTGTCTCAGCGAAGATCTTCCCTCCGCAGCGACCTCTTCTGGAGTGGTTCCCCATGGATGTGGCTAAGCGACGGCTCCAGCGCTGGCCTCCGTCCTTAACAAACTTGGGTCCACTCTCTGATGTGTTCTCAATTATGTATTGAACACCTGTAGTATTACCAACCTGACCTATGTAACCTGCAAACCCCATCCCCCCCTCCTCGCTTTAGCTAGCTAAAGCAGAAGTATCCAGCCATCCACTTATTGCCCTCGCTGACATTCCTGGTGGGAGGGAGAGAGACTGGGGGGAGAGAGACTGTTTGAATGTCTGCAGTTTAGGGAGCCAACGCTGGTAACCTTTTTCCCAAGCAGCACCTCAGGAGCTTTTGCATGAGAGTGTCCTTGAAGATGATAAGACTTTTGAATAGCTAGTTGAACCGTTGTATCCATCTGGGTTCTTAGGATTGCTTATACTTATGGATGTATGATGTGTGCATGGAGTGTGGGTTTCAGTTATACATTGGGTCCCCGCTTCCACTCTTCAGTCCTGACAAAGTGTCTGCTTCCCCATGCAATCGAAATAAATCCACGTTTGTGAAACAAAGCTAAATTTATTAGGACGCTATGGTTAGAGCATGAACACAAGTGTTGCTAGGAATAACTAGAGACCCCAAAGGGGAACATAATAAAGAAACTTGAACCAGGTTTGTACCAATGAGTCCATTTCCCGCTGGCAGGAGGGTAGAGAAACCGAGCACCAAAACCCTTGGGAACACAACGGTTCTATAACCTAAACACAGGTCCAATTCTCAGGCTTGAAATACACAACAAGCAAAGCAATGCCATAACACCATCCCACTTCCAGCTGGTTGACCTTGGGCAGTTCCGCAGAGCGAGAGAAAGTAAACACCTACAGTGAAGAGAACACAGGGGGGGAAGGGACAGAGCATAATGTACAGGATGCAATGTCACACAGCATTCAATGGCAGCTTGCTGACACAAAGAAGTCATCCTTGCAGCCATCTCAAATATCTTTAATAAATTTTCTCTAAGGAAAGCCTTTGTGCAGAGTGAGTTGACTGGGAACCTGACACCCACTCCTCTCTCCCACCCTGCTTCTGCATCTCCTTGACAAATCTCACTGAACTTCAACCCCAGGAGAAGCCTTGTATGCTTCTCTTCCCTGTTCTCCTCCCTTCCAACTTTACCTTTCTGTTGACTAACATTTGCTTCGTTACAAGCTAGGATTTGTAGAACACTGATTATAGTGTGCGCATCTTTCGAACTCTGTACTTAATTTTCTAATTGTCCTCATTTTTGTTTTGTTTTTATCTTAATCAATCCTGAACTTCAAACCAATGTTTATTCTTCTAGCAATCTGCGCAACCTAATGAGGTGTTAGATAAAATCTCGGACTTCAGTATACTGCAGGCAAGAGGATTCCAATAATATTTGCCCTGAGCACAGGAGTACATAGGCATCCGGCCCCCTTGAGAGGAAGATGCTACTTTGGTCAAGGTATGTACAGCTGGGGGCCATTTGGGTAACTGGAACCAAGTTGACCAAGGACATGGGTAAAAACTGAGGCAGCCATAAGGGACAGGACAGCCAGAATCTGGCTCAACTTGGGGGGTGAAGGGGGAAATTGACCCCAGATGAGGGCCAAAGAATAGCATTGGAATATTCAAATTTGTTCGTTGCGAACAAAGCCAGTGACTTGCCTCCACTGTTGTCAGCCAGGAGATGCCGCGGGTTCATTCCGGATCAG